TCTAGAACTGCATGTGTCCAGAGCTGACCATAAAGCAGCATCTCTGTAGAAGCACTCCCCTTCCCCCTTCGATTAGGCAGATTTTTCCTGGTAGGAATCAGGAAAATGTCCAATCTTTCCATTCTAGTTTCCAATCTTTTCTATGCTCTTGAAATTGAGTATGTCTGGAAACAATAAGTTAAAATACTGTTATAACCACATACACATCATCTAATACTAGGTGAAGAGTATCTGAATTAACTTGAGAATGATGAGCCAATGTTCTTCTTCACATTTGGACATTTCCCAAAAATTTTTTAGTGGTGTAAAGTCTGTGCAAAACACTCTCTTTGATCCATTCTGTAGCCAAGGTTCAGACCAAAAGCTGTGTGAGTAAAATTTAAGATCAGAACATACTCCTTATGAAAGGCCACACCAAATAGTAAAGCAAACCCATTCCCTACAGTCCAATTTCTACCTCCTTGCCCATTTTCCTACAGCCTTATTACTGCTTCCTGGCACCTCCAGCTAATTCCCAACTGAGGATCAAGCCACTTCTTCAGCATGACCAATTCATTTTAAAAATGCAGACAAAAGCTGATGGAAGGATAAAAAACCTAAGTATTAAAATCAGCATCTGCTATGTTACAGTTTCTTAGGGGACTTCTTGGGTAGTCTGAACAGATTGCTTGGCCGAGTGCCAACAAAGTAACTAATATCACACTCTAATCCGGCTGATACTTTCTGGCATTTCATGATTCAGTTATCTGAAGGCCTGATATTCCCAGTAGACACTGATATCCAAGTGCTTTGCTTTTCTTTCCTGACATGCCTACTGTATCACAATTCATTTGAGTGGAAGCTTCCAGTTGATTGAATTTTGAGGTTTTCCATGTTCAGAGAATGTTTTCTGGCATGAGCAAAAATGGCAACACAAAGGTTAAGCAAATGAAAAAAGAATAAATTTGCAATAAAGGCCACACATTGCATCTGGTGTTAGGCAGATTGGGTTCATTATCCCAAATTCCTTTCTGCTTGGCATTAGTATCCTTGACAAGCCTAACCAGACTGACTTGGCAACATGCCATGTGACTAGATGGCCTGAAGTGCGGTTATCCAGATGTACAGTGGATAGAAGGACGCAGGAAGAGCAATCTCAACACTGCACTATGGTATATTGCCAATGCTAATATATTGCAGCAGTGGATGGGAAAACACAGGAGGTGAACCTTAAGTGTCCGAATACAACAAATTCACTCTGTCTGAAAGGTAAGAGAAGCCGGAGCACCTCGTAACAGCAGACAAAGCAGCCTCCATTCTAATGGGCAGGCACTGGGGAGGACAGCATGACCAGAGAGCAGTCAGCCTGCATATGCCACAATGCCATAGTGCAAACCTCCACAGAGAAGGTGAGACATCAGGCAGAGATTAATACTGGCCTAACAGCTCAGTTGTTAGGAAATTATTAACTAAAGCAGCCTATAGAATCACCACTTTCAGCTGCACACTGCTTTTTCTGGAAGAAGCTGAAAGAGTTGCACCCTGAGAGCACTGGCTGCCAGACAGCTGAGGCTTAAAGTTGTTTCGACTCCCTGGACAAATTTAAGCAGTTTTGCTGCTCCAACTGCCCAAATATTCTTAGCAATTTGTATTGTTTAGGACTGTTGTGCAAGTGCTTCTTATTTTTAATGTCTGACTAACTATACAGAAACAACTTTAATACAAGAAGGAGTAACTGTATGGTTATCACCATTTATTATAACGATGTTTTTTAGTTGGAGGAGTAAAAAACGCCAGTTCCAACTTTAAGCTAACTCTCCAGACAAGATATGTCATTAGGATGCTCATCGTTGCAAGGTTCAGAGTCCTGCTACTTCAGGACTTTTCTAACTTCACAGAACCGTCCAATATAAGTTTAACATTTTCATCATATTCTTTCTTCATGATTACCAGTCTCTCAGCTCAGCTGACAAGAAAAAAAAATCCCTTTCCCTCACAAAAATCTCCAGATGAACCAAACAACATCATCTAAACTTTCTTCTTGCTGCAGCGGACTTACCTGAAAGTCAGGTACAGCCTGGCTTCAAGGCTCTATTCTGCTACAGCTTTTCAACAAATCAAAACATTTCTATTTTATCCTGGATGCTTTTCTGGGGCTTTCTTGATTTGCAAGGTATTACCTTCATTACTTAATTTTAAAGCATTGGCTGAAAGCCTTTACAATACCTCCACAGAACTGAACACAATTCCCATTAATGTATGGTCTCTCTGTAGTATTAATGCCTTCTTCATTTATCACTTTCACATATTAACTTTGACAATAGAGTTATGTCTCATTACAATGACTTCTTGAATTCAAGCTTTTTTGTCTTTTCTAACAACTCTAACTAAAATAAGCCATTTTTTGACAAGAGCCATTTGCCAGCGATGATTAAATCTCCTGAAAAACAGATCAGGTACACAAATATGTTTTGCTTCAATCTAATATTCTTAATGCAGCATCTGTCATTAGCATTGGGGATATCACAAAAAGACAATGATTAATTTCAGTAACTGGCTTTTCTACTCTATCCCAGAACATGAGGACACCACCTAAACACTTCAGATGCCTCTGAATCATCAAGTGGAGCCTAAATTTACTGATACTTTCATGACTTAACTTTGCTATTTCAACTTAAAAGCACAAACTCATATGTTTGTTTAGAAGTGCAGGGCAGCAAGGTCAGATTTACTTAACCAGCTGGAGTATGTACAAATGATTGGTGAGCAAGTTTCTCAAGACACTCCCATTCAGCCAATTAGAGTTTTTCTATCTTGATCCTTAAAACACAGTATTTTCTTCCTAATTTAATAATGTCAACAGATTTTAGACCCATATCAACAACCATTAGTTGTGGCAGGAGCATGGCTCAGGCTTACAGTCAAGTGTCAGTGGTAACGGATGAAACCAAATTCATGTTCTCCTTGTTCCCTGACAAGGGTATCAACCACTCGCTACAATTCTGCCCCACCCAAGGGGCATGGAACAAGCTGTAAGAGAACAATCTGTTTTATCTTATACTCACCTAAATAGTACCAAGCAAATATTAAACAGGATCAAAGAGCAACATAAAAAGGACCTGTAGTTTTAATCAAACTACTTTTACATACTGACCTAACTACAAAAGCTTAGGGACAGTAAGACTGGGCAGCCAGATCATCAGATGGGACTATTTATCAAATATATTTAATTTATATCTGTTCCTTTTCCAGATTACATATAGGTGTCCCATTGACCTCGGTCAAAACCAGTAGAATTTTGCCCCAGACAGATATAGCGACATGGTTCCATTTTCATCCCCAGTACTCAGCATTTACTGACACTTTATTGTGAACGAAGATAATACAGCAGTAAGTGCTTTACTCGACAACAAATGTACAATACGTACAGAAGTAAGATGTAGGAACGGGGCTGCAGGCAGCCTCAGCCTTGATGAGTTACAGCTGTGTCCTTGAACAAGACAAGTAAACAATTTTGAGGGAGAAGCAGTGTGGAATGCGGATGCGTGTTGACATTTACAATAAGAATCAAAGAAATTTATGACCAATTACAAAAAGGTAGAAAGCTTGTGCACATTAGTTATTAGGCAATTACAATACGAAAAGGAGTTATGTGTGTGTGTGTGTGACACAGAGAAAAAATATAAAAGGTTGTACTGTCGGATAATAAGCTGCTGATGCTTGCCACCACTTCAACTCTTTTGCCCATTGTCAGTAAGGAGAGCTCTGGAGGCCAGGGCCTGGACTTCTTTCGCCTCCACTTGGAGAAACTCAGGGCCCTCAGAAGTTCATCATTTCTATGCTACCATTTCCTCCACTCTACAAAAGGAAAGCCCATAAAAGCTTTTTCAACAGTATCTTTTTAAAGGGGTTCTCAGCACAGCCAAGATGAGATAAGAGCTGTTTGACTTAATCGCATCTGGTTTCACCCAGAACATCACCCAGGAGGGGCAGATCTGGGTAACTCACTTCGTGATCACGAGACACCTTATCTATTTCGGAGCTCAGTGCGAGCAAAGCGACATTAGAGCAACAGAACCACAGACTGCTCAGGAACTTCCACACGCTGCATCAACACTTTTGGCCATAACGTCACCCTGCGGCTCTTCTACCACAACGCGGCCTCGACCAGCCGCTTATTTCGTCCCTTCCTATGCCGTAAAGGCCCGAAGCGAGCGAGCTGTGACCGAGCGCTCGCGACACGCGTGGTGCCCCCGCCCCGGCGTACCCGTCACGGCGGGGCTCAGCCCACGCGGGAGCCCATCGTGCGACGCGGCCCGGAGAAGCGCAGCTGCAGTCCCGGGAGGACGGGACAGCTCGGCACAGCCCGGGACTCACGGCTCTCTCCGCCCTGGCCCGTCGCGCTTCCGCCGACGCGCAGCTCCCGGCGCAGCTGCGGCCAATGGGCGGCCGTTCCGCCAAGGAGGGCGGGAGTTTCCGCCGACGACTCGGGCGCGCCGGAAGCGGCGGCGGAGTGCGGAGCGGCCGTGGAGCTGCTGTGCCGCGGAAGTGGGTGAGCGGTGGTGCCGGGCGCGGGGCCTAGCCGAGCCGAGCCGGGGTGGCTGCCTTCCTCCGCGGGACCAGAGGGGCCGGGGCTGGAGCCGGAGCCGGAGCCGGAGCCGGAGCTGGAGCCGATCTTCTAGCCCGCAGCTGCGGGGGGCCGCGCTCGGCTCCTTGTGGGGCGCCCCGGGGCCGCCTTCCTTCACCCTCTGTGCGCACGTGCTCGGGGGTCGCGGAGCGTCCGTGCTGGGCAGCGGCACCGTCGAGGGTCGGCTTGGGGAGCGCGTCCCGCCCCGCGCCGGGGGCAGCCCGAGGGGCGGCGGGGGCTCTGTGGAGCGGGACTGCCCGCGAGTTGGGGTGAATTTCAGTGGCGGGACGGGAGCGGTGGGAAGGACGGCATCTCTGGGCAGGCGGCTGCTGGGTTAGCACCCGAGATGGCTTGTAAGCCTTATCATTTAATCCTTTTTAAAACCCACATGGGACAGAAGACTTCGATTCTCGGTTTAATTTGTGTATTTGTTTTGAAGGGAAGGATCATGCTACTTGTACATACATCTGAAAGTAGTTTTAAACAATAATTCGTAATGAATGTTTGGAGGCTATATAAATCCCATTGTAAATACTTTAATTGACGTGTGTGGTATGTTGGTGCAGGATCAGTATCCTTGTTGTTTCTAGAGGGATAAATAAGAGAGGAGTGTGTCATTTAGCTGATTTCCTAATAAGTACTAGAATAAGTTTTTCAGAATAAATGTGTGACTAGTTTAACCATACGGTATGCTATAATAGTTTAAGTCCCTACTAGTATTTAAGCATCTCGAATCTACTCTTTATGGTTCTTTATTCTCACTCCTACTCTTGAAGTAGGGTCTTTCCCTTCTATTAGAGTTTTCAAGGATAGTCTATAAATTATTTATCTGGGATATCTGTGACTTCAAGGGAACAAAGACAGTCAGAAATAAACAAAAATGTGTGGAAACCTACACAGCCAGTGAGGACAGTTTGACAGAGTGATTTTCCCTAAGTGAAGTGCTATGGGTTGGTTGGGACTTTCAAGAGTAATTTTTGAGAGCATTATGGTTATGGCAGCAGTATGGAAAGCTGCCTTATTTTGTTGCCAGAGTGCTTGTGCTGCAGGATGGAAAGCCAGGGGAGCTTTGGTGATCCATGCAATTGTTTGCAGTGACATTGCTGATGGAGCAGCTGCATCAGAGCCTGGTAGAATATGCTTTTCATGGCACTGGCACTGATGATGGACAGGTGGTCAGGCAAAAATGAGTGCTGATGTATCAGTGATTCTATTAATATAACCCCGAATGTATTGCTTCCCTTTCTCTTGTCCCAGTGGCATATTAGAATGATGTAGTAAGGAAGTGGAACTAGTGGGATTGTAAATTCTCATTGGAATGCTGCTGCTGTTATTGGTTGTAGTCAGTTTACACATGCTATTTTAAGTCAAAATTACTGTGAATGGGTTGAAAAAGATTGGAAAAAAGCCTCCTTGATATCTAGGTGAATATCTCTAGATTTGTTGCAGTCATAATTGCTTACGAAACTCCTACAGCTTAATATTTGCTATTAGGCAGAGAAAGATGGTCTTTAAATGTCTGTTTTTTCTTAGTGCTTCTCTCATGTTTTTTTTTTTCCTGATATGATGGATTTTTCCCTCTGGTCTTCTGTTTTTTCATTTTACCAGTAGGACTGTGTCTATTCAGTGTGTTCTACCTATCCCAAATATGAGGGGAAGATGAGAAAGTTACTTTCTCCCCCAAATCCATTTTTATCTGTCTTGCCTTCTGTCTAGGTAAGAGATACTGGGATATCTTTGAAGATTATCAGTACAGAGTCTAATTGTTGGAAAACAAAACAATGTTTTCTGTCTGTCTTTATATCCTCACAGTAGAAATCATTGCAAGTTTTATAGTGATATGGCTAATAAGTTACATCTTTCCTACACCTTGTGCAAAAGCATTTGAGGTTTTTTTGAGAGCTTTCCAAAGTAGAGACAGAAGTGGCTCACATCTGTCAGTCTCTGCTGCTTATCAAAGTAACATTGTAAAACCAGATATATCCCAGTGGTGTGGGAGACGCTTCAGCTGCCTGTCTCTGTATTTGCAGCACAGCATTTTTTATGCTTTGTTCACATATAGCAAGATGGAGCTATCTGGATTAGGAAGCTGTATGTGTTGAAAGCAAAAATGTTACTTCTACAGAAGGATGATAGCACATGCTAGAAAATTACAAATCCTGGAGAAGTAGGTACTTCTAGCCTTTATGAAAATTGATGTCTCAAGTAAGTGTAAGCAGACAAGAATTGTGTACAAAATGTTTCAAAGTACTGGAGTGTTTTAGAAAACGCATCAGACGTTTTTAACATAGCATATTATTTAGAAAGCAAACAAAAATAAAAAAATAACGCTTGATTGTTAGATAAAGAAAGCCTAGTGGTGCAAAAAATCTTAAGAGACCTGTGTAGTCAGCCTGATGAAAAAACCCATATTAGCATAGAGCGCAGCATAGTGCTAATTGGAGTAAAGCAATTCGTGGTGGCTGGCTACAACAGAGCAGCTTGTGTTGTGTTAATAGAGTGACCTCTACACTTACAGAATGTGTTTGTTTGAGAGAAGATTTTGCTTTAGGTAAGATAGTCACCTCTGAGCAAAAATAGGAAGAGATTGTTTAAATTAATATAGCAAGTGATTATATATCACAATATTAAATATCAACTACTTTTGTTGTATGTGCTGATAGAAAATAGTTAATCAGGATGAATTGTAATATTAGGTGTGAAACAAAACCAGATTTTTTCTCATTCTTTGTTCTATGACAACTTTGTACCTACTGAGAGAACAGATGAATCTAAATGCATCATCATAAACTTGAGATTTTAGTTCTTGAGTCATTGTTAATGGAATCTTCTGATATTGATCCTAAGAGTTTAGACTGCCCATGATTGTTATTAAAGCTGTGTAAGGTCACATCACTTAAGAAATAGGTTTTTTTCTTTTTCTATAGAAACAGATAAAAGGTGCTCAAGATGCTGGGAATTACATTTTCTTCCCTTCAAACATTTTTTTGCTTTTGGTATTTTCAAATACATATTTATTTTGTCTGATTGGTCTCAGCTAAAATTTGTTTGTTTTCTGTATAAAATTGGTCTTCTACTTGTTTACCTTACCAGCGTTTTAACCAATGTACTTGATGGTTGATTCTGCCTGATTAACTTTCTTCTTTTAATTCCTCTAAATTCAAATGAGATTTTTCTTCCACATGCATAGTTACTTGTTGTCTAGTGTATATTTTTTTGTCAGTCTGTTGACTTTTGTGATAGTGCATCCCTACTTTTTTCTAGCTTGTGTTTTTGTTTTTAATTCTTACTCATTTCAGTGAGGTCCAATAGTGATTAAAAAAGGGAGTATTTTTGTCAGCCTTGCTGCCTGGTAGTATAATGGGATGTGTATGTGAATGTTGGTGCCTACTGCCAGTGATGTGTGTTGGGATGTTGGAGGTGGTTTGACTGACAAAGCAGAATGAGGTATAAGTTTGCACTCAGCTTCAGTAGCACTTGTCTGAGATGTGTTGCTTTCTGAACATTGTGTTCAGTTAACAGTTTCAATAACTTCTGCAGGCAAAAGGACAGTGTCACTACTGCATTTGTCAAAATAGAAAAAAAAGCAGCCCACTTGAAAACCTCATCTGAATTCAACTTCTGGTATTTTGCTATTTGTCTAAAAGACTGAGGGTTGCCATCAAGTATCCAGCTCTCTGTTCATGTGAGAGGTGGGTGGGCTGTGGATGAGCAGAGGAGGGAGTGGGTGCTGTGGGCAGTTCAGGTACTTCCCAGCTGTGGGCAAGTATAGACAGAAGGAATGGTCCACCCTGGGGCAAGGGCTGGGCATGAAGGACCAGCAGTGAAGTGTTTTAAGGCAGAGCATGTGATGCCTTTTCAGCATAATGATTTTGTCTTGTCTAGCTAATTCTGTCCCTGCTGGTACATAAAAATACAGAAATGTTCAAGTACTGTTCTGGGCACAAAGAAAAGAGGACAGTAGGGACAGCATAAGAACAGATAGAGCATCCTCCTGGTAATGTGGTAAGGAAGGCATGGGATTGGCCTAAGAGCTCTTCATGCACATGCGCTGGTGTGCATTTTTAAGGCTCTAGAAAAAGTCAGTGAAGTACAAAATAAAGAAAAGCTGAGGCAGTTACTGTGAAGGTGCCAGGAAGGTGCTTCTGATGATGCACTTGACCATCCAATGCAGCAATTTGAGCAGTGGTTTCAGAATTAGTAACTCTTACATTGAGCTTACTGGAAAGGGTGAGGCCAGAGGTGTTGGAACTCTGGAAACTGAGAATTTTAGACTTTCTGTGCTGACAGGCACTGACTCCCAAAAAACCACTGCTTTTGACCTGAGGCCATGGAGAAGGCTTCCAAAATTGAATAGTGGAACTGAGATTATGGGTGTGTAGTTTGAATAAAAGTGTGTAATGTCACATGGTGGAAAACTTAGAATTTAAGGTTTTAGAATATAGCAATATATAGAAAGCAAGATGGAGGTTTTAGGGCAGAGGTTTTGTCCTTCTTCTTCTTGGGTCTGGATGATCTTGTTTAATTGGATGGAAAAATCTGCATTGCGGGCCACGGGTGGTTGGTTATTGGGTTAAAAATAAAAATAATTTAGGTGTCCGTTCTTAATTGGACAGCTTGGCCTTAAAAGGCCTTGTAGAGAGAGAGATATGACTCCATTTTTAGCTTGTTAGCTTGAAGTGCTGTAGAACTCACGGTTTGTGAGAATGCTGTATAGATAGGAATTAATAAACATCTGAGTCCAAACAAGAAATACTGTCTCGAGCTTTTAATTGCAACTGGCAGGAAAAGAAGATAAAATGCGATAAGTGGATCCTTTTTGCTTTTGTCCTTACCAAAGCTAGGATCAGCTGGTTGATTTAGTCAGCTTTTGATTTATAACCTGTAGCTACATCAGACTAGTTCTCTGTCTTGATTGGAGAACAAATTTAAGGTCAAGTCTGTTATAAAATGGGACTATATTTTATGAAGGTAATCTGATTCATCTATGAACATAGATGCATCTTGTAGTTGAAGAAAGAGCTTCTTTATCAGGATTCACTCTCTTTTACCAAATGAAAAGCCTTTGTTAAATCAAGCTTTTCATTAACCTCTCATCACATGCAACTGGATCTTATTTTTCTTTACAAAGACGGATCACAGGATACAGGTGCTTAAAACATTTAGATTGTACCTGACTGGTTTACTTAACAGGAAAAAATGTACTTATGGTGAATATATTTGTATTTTTTGCTAACCTCAGTTTCTTTTTTTGTAGGTAAGTAAATGGATCTTCAGAAGCAGATTTGCTAAAACTGTAAAAGTTTTACAACTGAAAAGTATGTGTTTGTTGTATTTTGCAAAAGTGTATATCAGAACTAGTGCTACCTCTGTTTACAGTTAATAAACCCTTTTGTTATATTGATTCTTATCATCTGTGTTAATCAATAATTTTATATAGCCTCCTAAGTCTAGTTCCAGTAAAATGTTTTTACTTTGTGCAAGTAGGTAAAGTGACATATTTCTCCTTCTGAATGTGACCTGCTGCTACTTTTCTGCATTGACTGTTTGTAACAGCTAGAGCTACTGTTGTGAAGGGAAGATTTGAAAAATACAATTCTAGTAGTTGCATATCTACTTTCAGTACTATATAGTAAATAATTGCCCCTTTATAATCAAGAGAAAGGTTTGAACTCCTCAAGTTTGTGTTGTCTAGCACAGCATGACTAGAATCTATTTCTCTAGAATCTCTTTCTCTTAAACTACTCAGGAGAGAAGCCTATGTAACTAGTTACCAAGTTACTACCATTGGTAAGCTTCCAAAGAGACAAGTTGAAAAAGCTTATTTCCACCTGTCTTTAATGACTAACAGCTTTGAAAGTCACTTTCCTCTGGAAAGAGATATTTTTTTGTTCTGCTGGCTCCCAATTTAAAACAAGAAGTATATGCATGGGAAGAATGTATTGTATCCATATAATCAAAATGTGGGACTTTATACTAAGAAATGTGCTGCATTTTGATCTCTTTCCAGATGGTTGAGTTGACGAAATAATTCAAAGTTATTATATTTTATTAAAAAGTAGAAATTATTTAATAAATAGATGTTGAAATACTTTTTTAAAAGTTTCAGTATTTTTAGCAGAACAGTATTAAAACTACTGTAAGGTATTTGTATGTACATCTAGTATTTGCAATGCGTATATGTTTCAAGAGCTATTATCTCTAAGTCATGTAATTTTACTGGTTTTACTGAACTAATTTCCAGTTCTATGTTTTTGACCATAATATGAGTTATTTTTGTTCCAAGTACATTACATACTTTCCATAACTAGAAAGACCTATTTTAAAGGGCTAATAATAAAAAGTGTATGTATGGGGCTTGCACATAATACATTATATTGGAAGAAATCCTGGAACCTTTATTTTTTTGCTCACTGTCCTTTTGTCTATTCATAATGAGTCTGGTTTTCACTAATTGTATTTTTATTGTCTTTAGTGGCATATCGGAGAGATGAAATGTGGTCTGAAGGGCGATATGACTATGGAAGAGTTCCAAGAGAACGTCTCCCTCCAAGGATGCATGGTGATGTAAGTAAGCATTGTGTCTGTAGCATTATCACATTATACTATACCTTTATACAATGATTTGTACCATAGGGGCTGGATTTATGGACCTGTGTAAGTTCCTAGTATGCCCCAAGTTCTTTTTTTCTCCCTGTTCTTTGAAGTCAGCAATCTGGCACATGCATCTGCACAGAAATAATAGGCTGCCTACAGAATTAAGTCTTGGTTTCTTTTTCTCAATGTTCAAATCTATTGGAAGTGTTTTAGAACATTTGTATTTTGGTAAACTAGTTTTTTTGGTGTAATTAGATGCAGAATTTTTAATGAATTCTGGGTAACAAAAGCCCATATTATGTTATAATTTTCCATAGTCTTTTTACATTAATATTTCTTTTAAGTAACTTGAGGTGGTAAAGGAACTTCTTTCATGGTTGTTCTTGTCACCAACATAGTTTTTTTTTAATGATGGTTAAAATATAGGAGAAGATGTTTTTAGCAAGTGTTGAAAGTACATCTTTGCTAGAGTTGTGCTTTGAAGTCCTGTAAGGGGAAACAATTTACAAAAAGGGTATCAACAGAAATCTGCTTTTTAGATACAGAGTCTTGTGTGCTATGTATGTACATATGTTGTTCTTGTAAAAGCAAGTGCAGAAGCTGTGCTTGCTGTGCTAGAGAATAACTTCAGAATTCTTTAAGGAATTCTCTCTTCCACAGAGTTGGGTAATTTTTTTCCTCCCTTGTCTGAAGTCTCTAACAAAGAAATAAAACAGGTTGTAGCTTTGTCTTTGGAGGTATTTCACCGTAAATAGAATTTTAAGAATAGTTCTTGATATTTCTATTTACATCCTGCGTAATGTGCTTTTGGCAAAATAAAATTTGAGGTACCAGTGCCTCTTGTCTTGTTCCCTTTTACTTATTGGAAATGTTAAAATAAGAGCAGAGCTGATTTAATCTGTCTTCTGGGTTCCCCCTGTTACTTTTTCAGCTTGTCTCTTTGGAAACTTACCAATGGTAATAAGTTGGTAACTAGTTACCTAGGCTTCTCTATTGAGTAGTTTATTAGTGTTTGGCTGCTTTGTGACATTTTAAATTCTCTTTACAGGCAACAGTAACATTTCTGCATTTTCAGCAAGCTGGAAATCAGATTGATATTCACAGGATGTTTAGCTACCTCCTTCTCTAAAATAACCTAGGACAAGAGGAAAGGCAGAATGTATTTTCACAGATTTTTTTTTCATTCATTTGACTAACACGTTGCCAATTTAATTTAACCGTTGCATCACTGATATTTCTAAATTCCTGTAGTCTTTGAGGCTCTCCACGGAACAATATGTATCAGGCATTATGAAAATTTACAGTCTAAAAGATGTGATGCACTCATTTTGATGCAAAAATTAACTAGGTAGTTCAATGCTAGCTTTGTATTACGTGTGTTTGGAACTGGAGTTGAAGGGAGTAGCAGAGTACAATCATCACAATTAATATTATCCATCTTTACCAAAACAACATCCCCAGTAGCTGGGCAAACCAAGATATGGTGTCTCTCTGCCATACTGAAAGATGGATATGGAGTTCCTTCTCATACAGCTCTGCAGAGTCAAGATAGTTAGAAGGTACTTTCTCTCCTTGTAAGCCTGTGCCATTGTATTTGTGTCCACATATAGAAGTCTGACTTAATTTTGGTTAGACAAGTGAAATGAAATTAATTTGTTCAATCTGTTAATATGCTTAGTGTTTGCTGATAGATTAGTAGGTTGGAAATGAGATGTCCAATGATACAGAATGAAGTACCTTTTTTTGAAGAGAGCAAGAGAAACGTCCTCATCTAAACTGGGTGCTAATTGTGTATCAAGTATAGATTGTAGTAGAAACACAGATACTGGTAAAGAACATAAAATTACAAGCACTTGACACTAGGATACTCATCGAGCTTTCATGTAACTGTTCTTCTGTGTGTCATTATAGTTATATGGTGGGGTCTTCTGGGTGAGGTTAAAGCATGGACCAGTTTTATTTAAGTTGCGCAGCACATCTTTCTAAGACATCAAACTAAAAAAAAAATAATGATTACTTGTGGAGGACGTTCGATGAGGTAAGGGTAGATCAAGTGTTGTGACTGTGTATGTAGTCTCCACTTTCCACCAGTATGACTGTAGGCTGGCTTTGGATTGCCCTCTAGTCTGTTTGTTGGATGGTCTCTGAAATCAAAACGAACTTTTTTTTTGCATGATAGTATTTAGCAGCTTGTGAATGCAATATTAAAATTATCAATGCATTAGATTGCGACTTTTTACTCTTAAAAAAATAACTTGAGTGCCTTCCCCCCACCAAATTGCATATGCTAATTCAAGTCTGCTTATTTGTAGCTTTTGTTTAAGGCCCATGAAAAAAATGTTTTGCTAAAGGAAGAAGATTTAAAATACTAAATCTTGCATTCATGTTTTCATTTGCTTTTTATTTGCAGTTAACTTATATAAAACTTAGTTCTAGTAAAATTTAATTTGCATCTTTTGCAGTGGTGCAATTTGTACTTAATAAACAAAGAATTTCTTTAGTTGACAGATGCTGTAAGACATATTATTTGAAGGAAATAAATTAATTTTGTGTTCTAGCAAAAAGCTGCCTGAAATTTGCACTAAAACCAAGACTGTAAAATTCTGTCACTTGAATCTTTAGATCACCTACTGCATTATATTCAGTGTGTGCTTATCTATTCACATTATGAAGCAAGGTCTATCTCAAGTGTGGAGGATATTATGGATGTAAGGAAAATTGTTAGCATTTTCAAATGGACTTTTTTTAATAGGCATTACAGGTGTGACTTTCTTTGTTGCATTCTAAAGTTAATGTAAAAGAGAAATACACGTAGCTAACCGATGCTCATGAAGTAGCTAATGCTACTGCTTATAAACTTTCAAAAGACAAACCATGTTTGAAATTTTCCCTCAATAATTAAACTTGTAATGCCTAAGGATTGAATGAGCAGAGTCCAATTAGATTTACTAAGTTATTCCACTGTCAGACTGGCATGATTTTTAATGTTTGATGTTTCCCTATGCAATTTCTTCTTCTAAGTCCCACATTTAGAAATTACTTGGTTCTACTCTTGTTAATTCATTACAGATTTTCAGCTGTTAAAAACAATATGATTTTGTTTGTTTTTTGGCTTAGGGTGATTACCATAGAATAGTAAACATTGTGCCCAAGAAGCCACCACTGCTGGAGAGACCTGGGGACGGGAGTTACAGTCGCTATGACGATTATGGTCACGCTGAGTACAGAGACTATGACGAGGGTCGTAGTTTTGCCCATGACCGCAGAAGTGGCCCCCCACACCGAGGTGTACGTAAGGTGATTCTTCTCACGTGTTTATGATGTTTATTTTCCTGCTAAGGCTTGAATACGAGGTAATTAAAATACTGGAAAGGACATTATTGTTGCCTCCTGCAACCCAGCTGTTTGAAGTTCTGTAATTTCAAGGTGTTGATGGTAATTTATATTTCAAAGAGGAAATTCTTCTTTTAGTCAGAGTATATATATATGTATATGCTTTGGAAACTTCTGTAGTTTTTGTATTTTGTATGGCATTGCAAAGTTGCTCTCATCAATACTGACAGAGGAAGAAAATAAAAAGTAAAGGGATACAGTGAATAAATTGAGAAGATATTTGCTATGGGGGTTAATATTTTTAAGCTCATTAAATGCATTGGTATTGCAGTAATTAAGTACCGTTTGGCAGCTAACTGTACTTGACATCTGGTGCTGTGATACATGTCATGCAGTCGTTTTGCATGTGTGTTTTGCAGGATGAATCAGGATACAGATGGGCAAGGGATGATCATCCTACAAGACCTGAATACAGGTATTTTTTTTCCTAGTAGTCCAATGCATAGACTGCGAATATTTAGGGCATTTTACTTGGTTGGTAGAGCAGACCAGTGAAATAACAGGGAAAGAACATCTGTTGAAGTAAAAGACAATAGTAGAAAAATGGATTTTAGCTGTATTGTTTGAAATAGAAATTAAAGAAATTATATGACATGAAAGTCTCTATTTTAGTATTTGTTTGGTAAAGATGGGAGGAATAATGGTAACATCTTTAGGATGGTAACCTGGAAGTGTAAGTAATTGAATGCATCTCTGATCAGTCACACTTGTCACATGACTTCAGAGATTTGTTTGGTCTATTATTTGATTCTGCAACTGCGGTACATTGGGGCTACAATATAATAATGCCTGTGCGATTTTAAAGGCTGGTGGGCTAGATAATGGGATTATGAAGTTCACTACAGCCTTCTGAGCTCCCTGTTTTCTCAGTTGGACTGATGAGTATATATTTCCATCGTGTGTTGTATTAATTTCTATGAACCCTTCTCAGACTGTACCTCAGATTCCCATTTATGAAATCTTAAGGACGAGTAGTAAATCATAGGGCTGTAATATACATCTGCCTGCAATGATGTTTGACATGGATTATTTGAGTTAGCAAATAAAGTGCACAGGATAGTGTTGCACTCAAAATTTATGGACAAGAATGAAAGTCACCTTATTTAGGCAAGAATTGATTGTTAGTATAGGTGAAATATTAGCAGTCTGATCTAAGAATGTCATCTGATGGCTATGCTTTTATATGCCACATCCTGCATTTCCACTTCTCAAAATGTCTGTTATACCAGGCCTGTATTTGTAGATACTGCATCATTGTTGTCTTGGTTTTAATTTGAATTTCCCGGCCAACACACTAAATAATGTTATAGTTTTGACTTTCCAATTTAAATATACTCATTTTTCTCTTGTGAGACAGAACCAGGAGCAAAAGAGCAAGGCAGACTTAAAACTTAAAGGGTATAAAAAACTTTATTAACTACACAAAGAAAGAGAAGTAAATTCAGAATAAGATCTTCAGACCACTCTTTCCTCCTCTCTCCTAACCTTCATAACAAGACAAACATACAAAAAACTACTTCAGTCAGTTCCCAACGTAAATAGTCCTTTTTTCAGTTTACTTTGGAGAGAGAAATTTCCTCTTGTCAGGCCATAGGGACTTCTCCACAAGGAGGGGAAAAAAACCCAGTTCTCTCGTGGCTTCACTTTTCATGATTCACATCTGCCTGGGAAAAGAACTTGCAAATCATGAGGCTCCTCCCTTTTTCACAGCTTTCCCAAAGCTGTGCTTATGGGCCATGTTAAACTTATGGGGTATTTATTTTTAAGAATGAACTGTTGCAAACCAAAAGTTCTCTTCATCTCTCTCTCTGTTCATGCTTTATCTCCAGAAAAAGAGATCCCCTTTTCTCCTCGGGGCGAAGGATTCTCAACACAGATGTTTTGATTAACAGTCTATCAAATGGAACATCTCCAACCCCCCATGTCTTTTTCCATGGTTTATAGTAATATTCAGTGAAACATCAGTTCATCCTTACAATCCTACAACTTCTCTCTGAGTCTCTTCTCCTCAGGTGAAACCAGCACTATGGTGTTGGTTGTAATATCATAGAATAACTCCTTGTTACTATATATTTACAGCTATGGTTATTCCATACAAAGGTCAACAGAAGTAAACCAAGTTAGCTATAGATACCTGGCCAGTTGGAAAAATTACTGTTAAACCAGCAGCATTAAAAAAAAAAAAAAAAAGACTGCAAGCAGGTCAGAAAAAGCTCAGACAGGGCAAGCCTGACAGGCTTGCTCAAGGCCTTAGTCTTAGGATGTTGTAAATTCAATATGAAGCTGTTAGTAGCAATATCCATACAGGGCCACACAGTTACAGTCGATATCTCTTCCATTGGATGGGATGATTTAGACGTAACATGGATGGGTTATTCTAGAACCTTACCATAAAGGAAATCCTTCATAAATCATAAGGGTCTGTGTAATAGACTTCTTTCAGAACTGCATTCTTGGGGTTAGAAGCAATAATAAAGGGTTTTGAAAAGAAGTGCTTAATAAAAATTTTGGTAAAAGTTTTTCCAACTTTTCCTCTCAATTTGGAAGAATCAGTGTTGTTTAAAGCTGAGTTAAAAAAACAAAAAGGCTGAGAAAACTGAGTTAGTGTCAGGAAGCTTATTGTACACAGAACAAGAGTGGCACCCAGTGGTCAAAAATATTGTCTTAAATGCATCCTGATTTCTTCCTTTCAAAATGTAAGGTTAAAATGTCAGCTCATTTTGTGGAAGATTTTATAAGTGTGTTGCATGGTATATGATAGTCCCATCTGAATATTTATTATATACTTCAGACTATGTAACTGTTAGACAACTGCAATAATGCTATGGAAGAACTTCATAAGGATCTGTGGTTCAAGTATATTTGAGATTGAATGAAATCCTACTGATTCATTATAGAAATGTAGTAAGCAATCTTGAAAGTAAATTCTTATGATGAGATTGCTAAACATTTGTAGTGTTCCATGTTTGTAATAAACTTAATTACGATTTTTTTGCATATTGCCCACTATTGAGCAATGTAGTGGATCTCAAGGAGGAAATCAAAGTACATTTCATGGTATATATTGTCTCCTGTGGTGAAATGCTAATTACTTTCTATTTCAAAGACATTTTCTCCACAAAATATGATATTAAAAAGATTTTTTTATGCAAAAATGCCTTCTTTTTTGATATGCTTTAAATTATTTAGGTAAGTTCTTTGGAGTACACATAATTTTATTTTTTTTCTTTGAGGAAATAAGAGGTTTAAAATTATTTTAACCAGAAGGATTTTTTTTTTTTTTAAATTTCATGGAACATGGCTAAAGCATAGTGAGAAGCTAGACAATCAGGAGACTTGTATGGTTGATGGGTTTTCATAGTTAGTACAGTGACTATAAATTCATAAAAATAATAGCTGGTTTATTGACAGAAATAATGACTTTCTTGACTATTTTTGAAATTGCAATTAGCAGCTAAAAATGTGCTGTAAGAAGTTGTTATCAATATAATGTTAGCATTTCCTTTTGAGTGTTCATCATTCACATTTTCCTGTTGTGGTTTTTAAAAACATACCTGTCAAAAAGTACTTTCTGATCTCTTACTCTTTGCATTTTTCTTGCTCCTATCTTGATTTGGAGTGCTGAAAAACATTACTTGCGATTCTCCCAAAGTAAAATGCTGCTTATCTGCAATATCATGTGTCCTTAAGTGAGTCCTGTGTGCAGTTTTGGGTACTACAATATGAGAAAAATATTAATCTGTTAGAAAGTGTCCAAAGGAGGGCAACAAAGATGGTGAAAGGCCTTGAGGAGAAGCATTATGTGGAGCAGCTGAGGTAGCTCGGTCTGTTCAGCCTGGAGAAATGGACACCTCGTTGTTGTCTCCAACTTCCTCATGAGAGGAAGAGGAGGGGCAGGCACTGTTCTCTGCTCTGTGGTGACAGTGACAGGACCCAAGAGAATGGCCTGAAGTTGTGTCAGGAGAGGTTTAGGTTGGAAATTAGGAGAAGTTTCTTCACCTAGAGGGTGGTTGGGCACTGGAATAGGCTCCCCAGAGAAGTGGTCACAGCACAGCCTGGCAGAGTTCAAAAACTGTTTGGACAATTCTCAGGCACCATGGTGTAACTCTTGGGGCTGTCCTGTGCAGGGCCAGGCGTTGGGCTTCAGTGATCCCTGTGGGTCTCTTCAAACTCCTCACGTTCTATCATTAGTTAATTCTCTTCAGCTTTGCTGTTGAAGAAACCACCAGTTAGGGATTTTTTGTATTTTTTCCTTTTGTTTCTTCGATGATATTTTGTTGGGGTTTTTTTAAGCTTCTTGCCTTTTTCTTAAAAATAGAACATGCTTGCTTACTTAGCATTTGTAGAGCTGCAGCTTCAGCTGTGATGTGTCTAATGACCAGCAGCAGTTCTCCATGAGTCACAAGAGGATTTCAGAGCTTCTAGCACTTGGCTCACTGTCTTTTTTTTTTGTTCTTGCCTTCCTCCTTATAGGGTTATGCTCCAGTTTCCAAGCAGCTGTCATTTACATGGTAGACATTATCATGTCTGGCACTGAGTGGAGCATTACTATTCCTTCTACATGCTTTTTGAGAGTTTTTAGCCCTGTTTTATACTATGTGTAGTGAACAGCTGTCATCCTGACCATGACTTTTTTTATGGTGAAGATACATATTTTATATGTAAAAATAAAGTAATTCAGAGGATGTGCAGGGCATAGATTTCAAAATGAGTTACCAGGTCTTTATCTCCTAAGGAATTCTGAACTCTAGGAAGTGATGTGAATTTTGTTTTAGCTTGATTTGAAGTGCATTTTGGTTCAAGTGTAATTGGCACATATAAAGAATTGTACATCATAAGTTGGAGGAAGTTTTCTGCACACATTAATGTCTTGGTTGCTGATGCTATGAGAATTGTGAGACTTAGCAATTCAAAGGAGTAGAGATCAATAAAGATGTGACTTTGGATATTTATCTTGTACTGATGTTGATCATTTCTGGAGCCGTGTTAGTGCTTGTCTTCAGCAATATATTAGGCTCATTTATGCAAAGCACTCATGCAGGTCAGACTTTTAAAAAAGTTTCAGGGAACTATGCTTATATATGTTGAAGGATTCTAGTTTTGCAGTACTTCTCTATGGGCCTCATAGCAATGGGTTTTGCATCCAAGTTCATTTTTATAAGGTCAGATGAACTTTTCAGTGTGAAATGCTTTGGAAGATTGTTAGCTGCTGTTCACTTTAGTCATGCCAAATTTTAATCCTTTTGAGTGCACAGAGCATTACTTCATTCTTTTTCTTTTTTTTTTAACCAACCAAACTGAGTTCACAAGATGTGAAATAGACGAAACTTGGCAAGTTAAGATGGGTAAGACTCATCTTCAAAGAGAAATTACAAAATGACGCACTTGTAAATCCCAGCTACACATGCATTAAAT